CTCATGTAAGACCTGGAGCTACAGAGACCCGAGAGCACGTGCTCTGTGCTTTTGGCCAGATTGTCACCGTGCGCATTTCTGCCGTCTGTTAGGGCGTAGGGTTTAAGATTTTGGATTTGGGACCACAGCCCTGGTCTAGGAGCCCGAAGCCCAAAATCTTAAAAACCCTAATGCCTAAACCTTTCTGAACCCCCAAGAAACAACAGAGGCGGGTCTTGGCGGAAGTGGGGATGGAAGGGGGAAAGCGGGGCTATGGAGGCTAAGGCTTCACAGTTTTTTTTGCTCCCACTGCCCTGTTTGTAATGTTTTTCTATTGTCCCTACTACCTCAATTCATTCTATGTTCTTTCGCCGCCTATTGCATTTCCACAGCCAGTTTTCCCCGTGGTTCCCACCGATGTTTTGTAACTCTAAATGAAAAACGCAACAAAGAACGAAGCAAGAACCTCAACGACCTATGACTATGGCTATGGAAAACATTGATGAACACATAATTCAAAAAAATTGCATAATTGTGATATTTTACATCAAGCTAAATAAAATTAACAACAGAGAAAAGGCAACATTTTCTAAGTAACAACTGAATAGCAAAAGATGTTTTATCAAGTATATGTGTTAAGAAACGGTACCGCGACGATGTTAAAGGTAAGCACATCAACACAGCAACATGCGTCTTTTCAAATGCAAAACACAGGATATATAGACCGCCTAAAACAGTGCATGAACCGATGAAAAGCGCAAGAAGGAAAACTTCTTGAAGAGAAGCGCATTGTTAGAAACGGTGATTCAAGGAGCTACATAGACCTCATCTACCACATGCGACACATTACCATACGGAAAACGGAAATGAATTAACAACATCAAGTCCTGATTCATGATACCATAACCCGAGTCAATATCGTTCGCCAATGACTGGACGATCAAGAACGGCAAGATTTGAAGTTAATAACCCTTATGCTAAATATGGGTTAAAGCGGAGACCAACATTTGAGGAGATAGTCGTTTTCATAGGTGCCCCACCAAGCCGTCAAACTAACAGAATTAGAACTACCGGCATGATCGTTTTGGGGGTTGGAGCGTGGCGGTCTGGATCCTAGGGCTTGATTTTCTCAAAACGCTCAAAATCCGGAATCAGAGTGAAGGAATCCATGTATGAGACTGGCCTGCAGACCAAGAAACGTGTAGCATGCGTCAAAGCGGAGATTTGCAGACACAGGCAGTGTATAGAAACAGAACGCGTCAAAATACGGGCCTGCCCATTTCTAATTCTAATATATTTATATGCTATACATATATATATATATATATTTGCTAGCCCCCCCCAATTGATCAACTCAGGCTTCTCACATGACGCCTGTGCAAGACCGTCTCTTGAGAAGCAAACGCTTCAAGCGCACTGCTTTCGCAGTGACCTGTGCAACAAGTATTCGTGTTCATCTAAAAGCTCATCACCGCTAGATGTGATTTTGTAGACCAAGCCACGGTAGCATTCGACCCTATCACCTCAGGATGCTTGTTACGCGGTAAAAAAGCTTTACTCTCGGAGAAAAGTGATCAATAAGACAAAGTCTTCCCAAAAATAAAGTTGAATACATGGCAGCAGCCGTTCGGTGGCATGTAGCCGATCAGCACTGGATGTTCCACTGGCGCGGTCGGGAGGCTGGTGTCATTCGGCAAGCGTCCCACCAAGAAGGAGATGCTCCGCGAGCGAATTTCCGGCGCTAAGACCAGAAGGACAACACGATGTTCACAGTAGCCTACACAACGGCGGGGAAAACATCAAGGGTTTGCGTGTGCGAGTACATACAGCAGGTTGTCGCCTTCTTTTGTGCAATACCTCTCTCAACATCTCTCAGAGTCTTATACTCGCATCAGAGTCTTATACTCGCATCAAAGCATCTAGTGCAGTACGGTGATAGAATCAAAAATATGAAGCTTTGTTTTCTTGCGATGCGAGCACCCGCGTGATGGTGGACGACAAACAGCTGCACCTTGGTGTCATGAGACATCTCCGTTTTGAAGCCGAAAGGCGGAGGAAGAAGATTCACGTTGCATTGCTTGTTGGCCTCAACAAATGCACGTTCGAGTGTACTGAAATCTATCTCTTCCGTATACTCTGAGATGATGTCAAAAAGGTTCACCGTGGGGTTGTCACTGCTACTGATGTCCTGCAAGGGCAATGTGACAGGCGAAAAGATGCCGATGGGAGGGTTGCGCATGGCAGGCTGCGTTAGCTTGCGACAGATCATTGGGAGCACGGCAGTCTTCAAGTCATCCAAAGTGAGATCTTCGGCGGACATTGCGAGAGGCAGATGGTTCGCGAAGTGCGAGGAAAGTCAATAAGACCTATGGCATCGCGCTAGTTTTGAGCCGTATCAGAGGAAATGAAACTGAAGATAATCACAGAAACTCTGTGATTAGAACTGCATGCGGTGCAAGCACAAATATAAGGGGCGAGCATCACGAGCGGCGGCACTTTTGCTCCATTGGACGGCGTCATCGCACGATTAATTTCTATGTCTCACAAGTAGATCAACACTGAATGCCGCGTGCAGTGGCTTCTGTTTCACTTTCTCACTTTCGAGATCAGGTACTGCATGCCGCTCATGTTGATCTTTCTCACTGTGACACGGTTCTACTATATGCTCTTCACAATTTTGCGAAGAACCCCAAACCAGAAAAAACCTGCAAACGCCCCTTGAGGAAGTCCGCGACCAAGGATCGTACCAGAGCAGGGCACATGCGGATCATGCAGACGAGACATACATATAAGCGCATACGCATGTGTATGTATACGTGGCATATTAATATATAGTATGTACTCGCAAGGTGAAAGGAATCAAAGTTGAGTATGCTATACGACTGCCGCATAAATACAGAATATATGTCAGAAAACAAGAACGACAACTACGTCCATTAAAACAAAAGCCAAAGAAACCTAGAGTTTCACAGATCACGTACTGCACCGGCACTAACCAAAAAAACCTAAAACACCAAAATTTCCAGCACTATGTTCCGGACAATAGTGCCCCAGATTTTGTTTTTTTTTTGATTTGTGTTCTTTTTTTTTTTTATATTCTTGTTTTTTTTGGGTTTCTTTGGTCACGACATTCGGGAACATAGGACTGGAGATTTTTTTGGTTTTTGGTTGAGCACGCAATTCGAAATCCTTTTTGGTTATGCTTTGTAATTAAGTTTTGTGATTTCTATTGCTTGGTGTTGTTATACATTTGCTTCCCGGCCCCCCCTGCAATCATAATATAATGGACGTTAGTTAATAGAGGGTGTTACCATATATTTATATGTGGGCTATTCCTTTTTTAAGATATATAAGAAATAGATATTTAGAAGAATACTATAAAATTATTTTTCAATTTCAAGCAGGCATTATAGAAATCTTAGAAAATGATATACAAAAGTCATCATCAATTTGAATAGAAGATATATATATATATAATATACATATATGTATATGTATCTATTATTCATACTAGTTATACGAGATTCATTCTATTCCAAAGAATAAAAAGATTGAAACTTTTCTACCAATAGTTTGTTTATACCAATAAGCTAGCAGTGGTTCTAAGCCGGATCATGTGTCCAGCGTTTTTGTGCTTTTCATGATCCCAGGGTTTTGATGCTTTTCCGGCTGCGGACACATAAGCAGAATATCTGAACAATTCTGCGGTGCAACTGTTACCTGGCTAAGCAATAAACATCGCGATACTTGCATGCACTTCATTTTCCAATCTAATGCGATGCAGAGTTGATGGTTTATGCCGTGCAGAAAACTCGCTTGCATGGTGTGGCTTCAAAAACCGCAGCGTGCGAGACTTTACGGTACACGGAAAAGTTTGGCTGTTTCGTGGCCATATTACATATAAGTATGCCGAAGCCAATACAACGACATTAGTTTAAAGAAAAACTCGGAAAGTCTTTTTAACTCACGTTTAACCATCAGGTAACGTAGCAATGTGACGTTCACGATATACAGGCGCGCTTGGAACTGCATCGGCCGATGCTTCTGCATGCGATCCTCAATACACTGTTTTTGACAGAACAACAAAACAAGTTGAAACATAACAAATACAAATATGCGGATATGGCTTTAAAAGCCTATACAAATGTGCGAGAAAAGAGTCGACTCAAGCAATCGCGGATGTTACGCAGGATATCCATGGGAATGCGATGCTGCGGGAAAGCCATAGTGCCAACAATATTGGACTCGAACAAAGGCAGCTCCAGCAAAGGCAGGAGACAAGACGTATCAGAACCAGTAAGCCCATGTCTAAATTAGAACCAAATAAGAACGGAACCAATACCAAAAAATACAAAAGAACCAATACCAAAAAAACCAAAGAAACCAACAAACTAATATTTCAGAACTCTTCCATAAGTGTGCATAGTTACGAAGACTTCCGAAATATTAGTTTTTTGTTTTTTTTGGTATTGGTTTGTGTTTTTTTTGGTATTGGTTCTGATTTTGGAACGCCCCTGGAAGGCATAATGCACGCAGTGCTTCATGAGGACCGTACCTGCGAGTCAGGAAAAGGCCAAAACGCTGGACACGCGAACCGGCCTAAAGCCAGGCGTACATATCCAGCCGTTCATGAGTTCGCCTGTTTGTTTGTTCGTTATTTGTCGGTGTGTTCACTGTGTTCACTTTGTTTACGAGATTTTTGTTATGGAGGCCAGTGGCTTTGAGCAAATAGATTTTGTAGCAAGGGGTTGGGGTCCTGATGGTCCGGATGATGCAAGGTAGCCGAAGCCCAACGTAAACCCTTCGCCTCTAACATCTCGAAAACGCTTTTCTGGCTTCCAACCAACCTGAGGGTCCGCGCTGCGGGAGTCAGAACCCGCGAGCCCCAAAGCCCCCAACCCCCGAACCGCCACTACAGAAACGAAAAATTAAGGGTTGAGGGTTTAGGGTTTAGGGGTTTAGGGTTTAGGGTTTATAAACCCTAAACCCTAAAACCGTAAAGAATCCTTCAGACTCGTGAGGCATGCAGCGGGCAGCCCTCAACTACTTCATCCGCCAGTGGGCCGGCCAAAGATTATATTGCTTGTATAGAAGCCTGAATAACTACCAATGTGATTCCTTAGGTTCCTTATTACAATTATACTATACAGGAGCCCAAAACCCCATTCTAATTACTACGGCGCTTACATTAGGATTGACAGTCCTGTGCAGAGCTTTTCTAGGGTCTGGGGCTTCGCCCGCAGCCCTTCTGATGCCTAAACCCTGAATCCCAAACCCTAAACTACCCTAAACCCTAAACCCTAAACCCTAAACCCTAAACCCCGAACCCTACTCCCCAAATCTTCAACCCAATCCTTGGGCCTTGAGCCCTCAGACGGAGCCCCGAAGTTGTGGAATCTCTTGCCATTTCATCTCAAAAGCCCAAAGCCCCAATCCCTAAACCCTAAACCCCAAATCTCCCCCTAAACCCTAAATCTCTTCCTAAACCCCAACTCTCCGATCCCCCAAACCCCAAACCCCAAATATCCCCCTAAACCCTAAACCCCAAATCCCAACACTCCCTCATAAAGACCCTTAAAGGAAACCCTAAACCTCAAACCCCATAGAGAGTCCTAATAAGAACCCTAACGGGAACCCTGAAGATACGGAAACCCTGAAACCCTAAACCCGGAACCCGAAACCCTCAATCCATAAACCCTAACCCCTAAACCCTAGAAATTTCTTCCCAGGTGGTATCAGCGAATCGAGTCTCTGGCTGTGCGGGCCGGCCGTTGCGCAGAGAGCCTGGGCTCTGCTTAAGGAACTTAGAGTTTAGGGTTTAGTGCACTGTAGGGGCCTCAAAAATTAGAAGATGGTTTTGGGGTTAAATTATACGATAATTCTCATAAGGAACTTAACTTAAGTCTCCACAATGGGGTTTAGGGTTTAGCGTTCAGGCCCTAAACCGATTATGTACTGTAGATCCCGATTGAATTCCCGCCCTGTTTTCATATTATATAGACCCTTATTATGGTAAACCCGAAACCCTAAACCCTAAACCCTGAACCCTAAACCCTAAACCTTTAACCCTGAACCCTAAACC